CCCTGGGGGCCTGACGGCGCGTCCCCCGCCCAGGGCTCCTGCTGCCGTCGCTCTGTGCCGTGGCCCTGCCCTTTGCGGCCCCCAGTTACGCGATGACCCTGACTCTGCTGATACTTATTCCGGGGACCAGCAACCTGTGCGACTCGGGGTTCATCATCAACACCCTGGACGTGGCCCCCAGGTAAGGCTGTGCGCCGCTGCGGCCCTGCCCCAGGCCTCGGTCCCCTCGCAACTCCTTCCTGGGGGCAACACGCAGTCCCTGGTGGCAGGACGGCGACGAGCAACTCGAGGTGTCAATACGTGGCCACGACCTGAGTGCGCTCAGGACAGCAGCTCCCCGGGCCTCCCTGGGGGCGGGCCGTGCGAGCTCGGTGACATTGGCCACCAGCAGGCATGCCCTCGCCGCGAGCCGGACCCTCCGTAAGGACCCGTCCCGAACCCGCACATCCCACCCTGGTGCCCCAGGCGGCCCCCTTGTCGCCGGCCCCCACAGGGGGGGGGGGGCGCAGACCGAGGTGCGGAGGGCCAAGGGGCCTGGCGTCATACCAGGCAAAGCCAGGACTTAAAGCCGGGCAGCTGTCCCACGTCCTGTCCACGCCACACACTGCCCACCGCACCTGGGCCCCAGAACACGGGCGGCTCCCCGGCGTTGGCTGGGGGCAGGTGACCCGCGGCTGGCAGACAGCGCTGCCGGGAAGTCTGCACGTGGGCGGAAACCTGCGTCCCGCACAGTGGCTTTGCCCTTGAGCCCAGCTGCGTCGGGGCGGGGGCCGGAAAGCCAGATCGCTGCACGCGCGGCGGCGGCTGCGGGAAGCCCCGGGTGACGCGTCCCCCGAACCTGGCCCGCAGGTACGCCAGCTTCCTCATGGGCGTCTCCCGCGGCTTTGGGCTCGTCGCCGGCATCATGTCGGCCACCGCCACGGGATTTCTGATCAGCCAGGTAGGGGCGCTCCCTGACCGCCCGCGAGCGGCGCCTGCTCTTTCCGGTGGGGGGACCCCCAGGGCGGTGGCTCCGACGGCAGCACCGGTGCCCCAAATCAGACGCTAGCGGGTCAGGGTTCCCAGAGGAGACGTGTTTCTGACAGGGAAGGAGGTGAGCTTGGTGGGGACGAGCGGCTCGGGCAGAGGTACAAAGCGAGCTCTTCGCTGTGGCCAGAGGGGGTGACGCACGTCGGGAGGGGCGAGAGGGGGAAGCCGGGCGGGGGGCATCGCGGCAGTCGGCGGCAGCCCCGAGAGCCAGCTCACGAAACACGGTTCACCCTCCGCACATCGTCCTGCGACCTGGCCTCCGGGTTGTTGGCCGAATCCTCAGGAATCTGCCGTGACCGGAGGGCGGAGATGAACTCTGACTCACGAGGGCTCGGCGAGGGGGCCGGGCCGGCCGGCAGGCCACGCGCGGCCGGATCACGTGGCCATGGTGTCCCCGTGCTCGCCATGACACCCTAAAACAAAACAAACCGAAACGGGACACGGGATGAGCTGTCAGTGGTGTCCGTCCGGCCATACTCGTGCAGGTCCATTTACTTTGGTTCCGAGAACCACCCCTCCCAGCCCAGAGCCCGGTGCCCACTGCAGGCTCGTTTTGTTCCCCACGGCGTCGTCAGACCTTCTCCGATAGCTGCAGTGGCTGCCGCACATTGTCGCCCCACATTCTCTGTGGTCAGCATCGCGACCCACAGAACGGGGGGTGGGGCGGGGGGGCTCCTGGCGCCACCGGAGACGGGAGCGGTGGCCGCGGTGACTCTGCGTTTCGCTTCCAGGACTCCGTGTCCGGATGGAGGAACGTCTTCTTCCTCTCTGCGGCCGTCAACGTGTTTGGCCTGGCGTTTTACCTCACGTTTGGACAAGCAGAGATCCAGGACTGGGCCAAAGAGCGGACCCTCACCCGCCTCTGAGGACACCCCCAGGACGGGGACCCGGCCGCGCCCCTTCCCACCGTTTCTGCTCGTCCACCTGCTTTCTTCACATTCCTCACGTAGACGCGGCGGTTCTCGGCTGCCGCCGTGCGTTGGGTTCTCCCGGGGCGTCTGGGGGGCACATGGATGCGTGGACCCTGCCCTCGAGGGCGGACGAGTCGGCTTGGGTTGGCACCGGACGCTCCCGGGCTTTCTAACACACGGCCGGGGTTGACAAGTGCCGGACAGAGCCGGAACGTCCATGCCTGTCGCCTCTGCGTTTTCCGCTTTGGAAAGTAACGGGCGAATAAAAGTCTCTGTGGAAATAAGCCCCGTAAAGCACCTTCGTGGGGTCTGTCGCGGACCAGGAGGAGACGTGCCATAGCCACGGGCAAGAGAGCTCAGCGCAGAACAGAATTTGAAGCTACAATCCGCAGAATTAACGCTGTTATTGTTTTTATATGTTATGAAACTTGGATGTTTATTTATGTGGTTAAATGCTATTAAAACCCATATGCTAAAAACAAAACAGACCACTTTCTAGTTATTTAGATTAGGATTATTTCCAGCAGGCAAAACAGGTATTGACGTATCCGCGGTAAATTCTGTGCGGTGAGCGCCCGGCTGCAGCGGAGCAGGAACCACGGGGGCGGAGGCCGGGCCGGGAGCTTGGGGACGGCGAGGTGGCTTGGACTGGACGCTGAGAACCGAAGGGAGACCAGAAGGGCTTTGAAATGAAATGACAGTTTGCACGGGGGCATCTGGCAGACGGGGGGCGGGGGGGCCGTGGCAGACCTCACCGAGGAGGTGACCTAGGAGCCGGACCAAGGTCTGAGAGCCAGTGAGAACCGCCAGACGAGGAGAAGCAGCAGGTGGGGTCCAGGCCCGGGCGAGGAGGGGGCGGATGAGAGTGAGTGGCGGCTCCAGCCGCGTCCCTCCCCGACCCGTGGGCGCCGGGCGCCCGTCCCCATCTCTGGGCGGGATCGCGAGTCCGGCCGCCCGCAGGGGTCCGGGAGGCAGGGACCCTGCAGGACATGTGTGGGCTCCTTCAGGAAACCGAAGCCTGCCAAGAGGCTGAGTGAGGACGCACGCCGGACGCCGCTGCTGGCCTCTGGCGTGACGCGGGGCCGGGCGCCGGCTGAGCGCGCTCCCGGAGACGCAGCCCACAGCCCGGCCGGGGCAGAACGCGGCCTGAACGCGAGCCCGCCTTGGGGACAGGGGCTCGACGTCAGATGACCGCTGAGAGGACCGAGCAGCTTCCGAAACACAACGGGGCACGAAACGGGCGGGGCCGGCCTGCATCAGCACCCACGATCCCCCGGTCCCCGCGTCTCTCCCGAAACCACCGCACCCCCAGCGGAGCAGCCGACGGGCGTCCTAAGTGAAGGCGGCGACGGGCAGGCTCGCTCTCGGCGGCCGCAGTGTGAGGCGCAGGCTCCACACCGGGCGGCGGGCGCAGGTCTCGGCTCCCTGCGGCCCCTGGTGTCCAGAGGGGACGGTGGCACTCTGTGAGCTGGGCGGGCCGTCCCGTCGGCTCCACTGCTAGAAGTCCCCTTCTCTGATCGGTCTTCCGTCCACCTCCATTTGACTGTTTCCCAGTGCGTGGCTGGGCACTGCACGTGTGGCTGCTGCTGGCTCGGCAGCTCCAGGGCCATCGCCCTGTCCCCACATGGGAGGGTGGCAGCTCCCGCCACCCCCGCCCCACCCAGACTCCACCCTCACAGAGCCGGCTCCCCTCAGGTGCCGCGGCCACCTCCTTCCTCCCACGTCGTGAATTTCTCTATTTGAAATAGCAATAAAAAGAAAAGGTGCGTGTGTTATTTTGTTTAAAAAGAAGTAGCATGCTGCCCTTTCTGCTAAGAAGAAAACATATTTTTAAAATCTCTCTGGAAGGATTCAAGGAAACTTCAGTCTGGTTTCTGTCCAGAGGGGCATGAGGGCCGGAGACACGCCCGCAAGCCAGGACGGCCATGGCCGTGAGCCTGGGCGGGTGACATGCGCGTGCACACACGCGCACACACACACACACACATGCACACACACACATACACACACGCGGCCCAAAATGCGTGCTGTTCATGCCAGGACTGCTCGTGAACCGAGAAGGGAAAAAAACATTTTAGAGGCTAGAAGGATTGTCCTCGATATGTATTAGTGAGACGTTTAGTAAAATTTTTGCTGGAAACAATTCGGAAAGCGGAATGTTTACCTAACGAGCTCCTCACTTGAGCGAAAGGGTTGGAATTTTGAACGTTAGTGTCTTTGTGACTGTTGGTTGTGTTTGACCAGGTTCCCTGAAAATACGTGAGGTCGGAAAACAACTAGTCAGTTTCAGAATACCTGGACTTTTAGGTCTGGAAGAAGAAACTTCTCCATAGAACAATGATTTCAGAGGAAAAAAGCTACTGAGACTCACGCTGGTGACCAGAGGCGTTAATGAAAACAGCAGCGATAATACGGCGGACGGTGACCCATTTGTCGATTTGCTGTTATATGCGAGGTACGTGGAGTGGCTTTATTTTGCGGCATGATTTACCCCTGTTCCTTTCGATGATCTCCGAATGAGAGAGAAGTCGCCGTAGTGAAATACCCTTGTCCGAGGCACAGGTAGAAGGTGACGGTGTCCGGGCACGACCCCAGCGTGGCAGCATCACAGGCCCGCGCTGGCGAGGATGCAACGGGGTCCGCGTGCTCGACAGCTCGAGGCCCTTCCACCAGCCGAGCGTCGACTCAGCTCCGTCTACTAACCCGTGGGAGCAGGCGGCGCCGGAGCCGCACGCACTGTCCTCCTGTGTCTCCTCCGCAGACTTAGATTCGTCGGTTATTCTTTCTTCCTCTCCACGTCTGCTGTGCTCATGCGCACGCACGGGCGTTCCTGGTGCTGCAGTTGCTGAAATGAGGGGCGCTGAACGAACGGGGGGCCACGTCGAAGCGGGAAAGGCGAGGCGTATTTGCCGCCGAGCCCGTGACCGAACGCATCGTGGGGACAGCGACAGACACACCACTCTGCTCGGCAGAAGGCAAATGACGAGTCCGACGGCCAGCTGGACTCGGCCCCAGAGATGGAGACGCAAAAACAGGTGTCTGACCTGAACTTGAAAATAAAGGGATTTGCCAGCGCCACGATGGGACCGGAGGCCCCGAGCAGACAGAGCACGGCGTGCGGGTCCACGGCTCAGAGTCGGGTGAACCGGTGGCCGGGCTCATGCGAAAGCTCAGTGCCGTTTGGCCAAGCCTCTCGTTTCGGAGTTGAGAACCACGTGACATGATGGTGTGACAGCTGCCCCTGACGAGCCCTCATCACTGCTGGACTCTGAGATGTGAGCAATGCACATGTGACGGGGCCTCCTCGGGCCCACCTGCGGCTGCAACCAGAGCGTGGCCGGAGCCTCTGATACGTCACCCGGAGTGGGGGCGACATCCTGCTGACCGCTCACATGGCTAACTAATTATTAACGGCGGCTGTTCGCAGCCCCGTGGCGGTGGCTCCAAGGGTCACGGCAATGATTCCCGAAGGAGAGGCGTGTGCTCCGTCCTCCCCACTCAGCCTCGTCACCGAAACAAAGCGACTGGAAACCAACCTCCTGCCAGAGGAAAAGATATGAATTCGAAAAAAGAGGCTATTATGAGTCAGGTCAAGCGACTCTTTCAATCTATCTTCCCGTGTTTAGAAATTAGTTAGAGATGAAGCGAAGTTAGATTTTTTTGCACACAGAGACGCCTTGAGTCTATTTCTACTAAGTCAAACCAGGTGGAATTTGAGAAGAAACAAGTCGTGAGCATCTTTAAGTAAAGTTAAAAATTAAATCGTGGAACCAAGCCACAGTTTCTGACTTAGATAATAATTTAGGGTGAGAAACATTTCATGTGGCATTTGAATTCTGCAGTTGTTGATTACTTATTGCAGGGTCAAGAGTCCTTCGGAAATGACTCAGGAAACTTCTTTCGCCTGGGAGGGTGGCATTTCCATCCGGCCCCCCGCACAGTAGACTTAGGTTAGCCGTGCTTACTTCGCCCAGTGCGGATGGGGCGAATCTGCTTCCTTAAAACATCATGACACTTACCGTAAAGGACTGTGAGGGTGGCGCAGAAGAGATCGGGCAAGAGGGTCACTGTGACTTCCTCAGGCCTGGACTCCTCGGACTCCGTGACCTCCGTGAGTCCAACGCCCAGCCAGGGGTGCCTGGTCAAGCCCGGAGGGAGCGTGCAGGGGTGGGGCTGGCCACGAGTCTCCGTAGTGCGGGGGGGCCTGAGGCCTCGCCTCCTCCGACACGGGGGCGAACAGGACGGCAGCCAGGATGCCCCAGCTGCGTGGAGCTGGAGGTGACGACAGCCGACCGGCCGGGCGTCCGCTGCAGGGACCCCGAGGTCATGCCGCGAGTTCCAGAACGGTCCGCACTGCGTGATAGCGGGCACCATGTCTCGAACACACTTGCCGATGGTCGAAACAGGGGAACACGCAGAAACCTCGTGTGAGAAGGGCGAGGGGAAGCGGCACAGCGAAGTTCGAGTTCAGCCATGACATTGCAGTTCATGTGCTCCGAAGATGGAGAAACCAGCAAAACTGCAAAGGGAAAAACACAAAAATCACACGGAAAAACAAGTCTGCATTTAATTATAATATTCTCTTTTTTTAACCCTTTAGAAACAGAACCGAAGTCACTAAAGACACCCCAAGACGAAGCAGAAATGAGTGTGGGCGCGTGAGCCAGAGACCCGTGCGGGCGGCCGGGGGCCCCCGGGGCGGTCGGGGCCCAGCAGGGAGCCTCGTCAGTCCCCCCTGGACAGGCCCCCTGCTCCCAGGGCTCGGCCACGTGGCGCATCCCCTCCCTGACCTCCGTGACGTGGCGCCCCGCTCCTTCGCTCGTTGGAGCGGCTCGCAGGCTTTGCCGGGACGTGCTCGTCCTCGGCTGCGACGCGCTGCTGTTCCCGAACGAACCCATCACGCTGGCCGAACAGCCGGCGGCTTCTGTCTTTAGGACAGCGGGACGCACCTGGGG